AATCTGGTTTCCAGCTCTGTAAATATCATACTAATTGTCCATAGTGACAGATATAGTAGTAAAGTCGTGTTTAAGATGAGCTACGATTTTTTTGTATTTAAAAACTAACGTTAACTTTAAGTCACGAGCACTAATCCATCAGTCAATAAGCTAAAATACAATGTTTAACAACAGGTTATTTATGTCTTGTTAAGCATATTTTAGTTTTTACCGTTGTGTGATTGTAAGAATGAAGAATACACCAAGAAACGAGCCTTTCAACGTATTGATGAATGAGAATAATACATAGTTTTATTGTATTTTATCTAAATGTGTGTACATCTGTGTTTTGTATTTTTGCTGTGTTTTTTATGTTATGAATAAATAAATGAATAGAACTCTGTTTACCTGAATGGCAGGTAACATTAAAAAAAGGATCATGGGATCAAGTGAGAGTAAGATGACTGCATCTGCAGCCATAAAACCAGAGCCAGCCTTCAAAAAGACTCACATCAGTCACCTCATCGATCCTCGCTCCCCCTCAGCTGGCATAGAACGAACACCTATTCAGGTGGGTTACCTGGTGGATCCATTCATATATTAAAAAAAACCCCACAAAGTCTGAAAAAAACGTACAGTCTGAACTCCAGAAAATGTGCAGTCATTTTTTTTATATCAATGAAGGCATGAACATTTTTACTTTGATCTTGAGGCCCTCTGATCCAAACTCTCTTCTGTACTCACATTTCAAAGACTTTGAAAAGCTTCTTGTTTGATCAGTGTGATATGTCCAAACTATAGAAGGTGTGAGGGGAACAAATGAGACTTTTCACATGCGCTTATACTCCATCTTTCCCAGATGGTGTGGATGAGTCTAGAAAGTTCACCCAAAATCCACATTTTGAAGTTTTCTCCAGTAAAGTATCAGAAAACGGATTCAACATATCATTGCTTGTCGTTGATCCTTTGTATAATAAACACAAAGCTGGTGCAGTTTAGCTGCTAAACTTGCATGTCACAACATCAGGAAAAAATTACCCTCTGATGGGGAATAGGAGGGAGGCACTGATAATTATTAATCCTGCTTTATTCTCTACACTACTTTTGTAAACTGTGGGGCAATCAAACAAAATAATTGAATATCTTTGCAAGGTTGGGCAGCTTGTGTCCAAAACGTCTGCTGAGATGAAAAGCGAGTACCCTGTGGTGTTTGGTGATCCACGTTCACCTACCATTGGCATTACCCGCACCCCTGTGAGAGAAGTCATGAGAGGTAAGTAATATATAAACGTAATAACTTTCAGCTTGACTTTTCTCCCTTTATTTAAAAAAAAAAAAAAAAAAATCTAAAAAAATGACTTCCTTTCATTCATCTTTCCAGCAACAGTCGGGTCCTTTGCTCGTCGCCTGGGTATGATTTTCCACAGTGAGGTTGAAGGGAAACTCCCCGAAGGCTATCAGAAAGGCTTCAGTGGCGCATCAAAGAAAGAGGAGGACTTGATAAGTGAAGAGCTGGCATCGATGGAGCCCCTCCTGAGCCCACAGCTGTCCAGCAACCTTAATGAGCATGCTAACTTACTGGTGCCACCTGTACAGCCCCCTCTCCAGAGCGTAGAGAAATTGAGTCCTTTTGTGCTTCCCGAAGAGCCTCAGGTGGAGGTGGAGATAGAAACTGAAGCAGATATTAGCCTGGAGGAGGCTGAGGAAGCAAGAGAGTCTCCTCTTCACAAGAGACTAAGCATGAGCCTGATAACCTGCCACGAGGGCGCTCCCTCCCCCCGAGCCTTTGCAGAGGTCCATCATGAAAATATTTCATCCCCAGAACCTGGCACAGAGGTGGAGCCACTTGGGGATGGTGTGGATCACGCTTACGCCCTTCCTTCTGCTACTATTGAAGCAGACTCTCCTGTTGAACCTGCCCCCTCCAACACTGATGCTGATGATTCCCTTGCACAGCCAGAGAAGGAAGAAACTAAAGAGCTCGGTAAAGAAGCTAATTTGCTTCCATCCAGTCCACCATGTGTTCGTGGTCCTGAGCAGCCACAGGCTTGCACCGGCATCCGCTGCCCCACCTTTGACTCAAAGAGCCCCAGCCAGACTGTTTTCAAACCGCAGTGGCTGGGAAATGGCTTTCGTCCGTCTGGGCTCAGAGCAAGAGGAGTGCAGGGGCTTGGTGGAAAAGGAGGCTCCTCTCCTCTCGCCGTCCGTGTGGCCGTTAAGAACGTAGCCAACGAAAACAAAGGACAGTCTGGAAAACTGAAGCAGAAAGGTGTGTAGGAAGTTTTGATTGGTTATGGTGAGACTGTATTGCTTTTCCTTTTTTAAACTTTCTTTTTCTTCAGGTACTGAAGGCCGCTCCCCGCTGCAGATCCTCAAGAAGACCAACTCGCCCAGAGACCAGCGCGCTCAGGTATTTGTAGCTGTAATTTACCCACATATATCAGCTCATGAAAGCAACATCTGTGTTTTTACTTGTCCAAAAACACAGGAAATTCACGTTTTGAGTTCTTCCCAGATGAAGCTGAAGACGTCCACTCCTGACAAGCAGAGGGCTGGACAGATGGACCGCCGAGTGCTGGCTGTGTGTCTGGATAAGGAGAACCGATGAGGCACTGCACGCACTGTTTTTAAAAATGTGCTTTTATGTGTATAGCTTCCACAAACTATTTGTTGTCCTGTATATATTTAACTGCTTGTTGTTGTGTAAATAAAATTTCCAAACCTACTAGAGCTTTAAATTTTACTGATTAACTCTTATCTGTTATTTGGGGAATTTTCTTGTTTGTTTTTGTGCGCATTTAATCTTCGTCAACACCTTTCAGAAATAACACTTGAAATTTAATATTTCTTCAGTTTACAAAGATTGCATAGCTCACATGTCATTGAACTGACAAAGCGTCCTTGGGCAATGGTGAACACTTCGTTGCCCTCGCCTATCAGAGTGCGAGTGTAAAGTGTCTTTTCTATACCCAAGGCATGCTTTGAGTGAAGAAAAAGCACTATGTAGCTACCAGTTCATTCAGCAGGTTACCTTGATGTCTGCTGAGTTGCTGTCATGTGATTGGCTGTTTGACATTTGCACTAACGAGCACTATAGCAGGTGTACCTAATAAAATCTTAGGAAAAACAGACATTTTAGCATTAATTAGATGTAGCTTTTTTTTTTAAGTTTACATTTATTCATTTTAATTTTTTAGTCACAAGGAAACAAGAACAGAAGAGAGAAGGGTGTGGAAAGAGTAACAGAAAATAAATAAACAGCACAGTAGTAAACAGTCTTTCTATACTCTAAATGTTTGACTTGCAGACAGATCATGTGGCCAACGCTTTTCTATGAGTGCCAGTCGATGATCTGTTCTTGGAGGAGCAGCTCCTATTTATGGTCTTTTTACATGCAATATTCAAAAGGGAGGAATATCGTCATATTGAATTGTGCCACTAGGTATCAGTCCCAAAAGCGTCACTCTGGGATCCTTGAAAATATCACAACCAAATATGTCCTCTAAAGCAGCGATCTCCAACCTTTTTTGCGCCATGGACCGGTTTATGCCCGACAATATTTTCACGGACCGGCCTTTAAGGTGTCGCGGATAAATACAACAAAATAAAACTAATACCGGTACCGAAAAAAAGATTTATTCATAACACACGTGAAAAGACCCAGGAAAACCGATAAAAATGATAACAAAATAACGCTGGAAACCATACATTTCACACATGAGCCTCAACTCTCGTGGCTCGGTACCGGTCCGAGGCCCGGGGGTTGGGGACCGCTGCTCTGAAGTGTTTAGTGTCAACATTATTAAAGTCCATTGGTATGCTTGTAGTTTTGTACATGAACTGCTGTGACTGCACACTTCTACACAGTTTGTCCAGGGGTATATTTGTATGATGTGTACCTTCAATCACTCCATCATCTTCTGCTGAAATTCCTCTTTGAATCTCTGTATTATAATTAATGTATTATAACTTGATAGAGAACTTGTGTTTTGGAGATATTCACATGATTCACATGTACATGAGTATGGGCGGAGTTAAATCTGGATGATAAGATTATCTGTGAGTAATGCCATTATATGGTTCTCCTTAGCTATTAGTTCCTATGAGTCAAGGCCTCTGAATATTCCAAAAAGGGGTGAGCTGAGGCAACAACCCTGCATCTGTCTGACAGGTGATCTTTATTCTAGCATTTTTACCTGAGGCTATATCATCCTCATTTTTTTATGATTAATTTTAATTGATAATATGGGGATAAAAGAGGTTGGTCAAGGTGAAGTTTTTACAGTGTGGATGGGAGTGAGGCTGATTGAAGCAGTTTGCACTTTCACCTCACAGTAAGAGGGTCCCTGGTTTGAGCTCCAACTGGTGCATCTCTATGTGGGGGTTGCTTGCTCTTCCTGCGTCTGTGTTTGCTTCCTCTGGCTTCTCCTGGCTTCCTCCCACAGTCCAAAGACATATATGTTAGGTTAGTTGGTGTTTTTAAATTAGCTGGACGCAATATGTGAGATAGATAAAGTCCCGCTTGAATAAATGCAACTATCAATAATCATATTACTGTATTTTTTTTAGCTTTTTATATCCTGTCTACCTGCAGAAGGAACTGAACTTGTATCTTAAACTGGTTTTTGTTGTGTGTGTGTGTGTGTGCATGGTTCCTGATTAATCAATAATAAAACTAAACAGGTTTGACAGAGATTCATGTTGAGGGAATTCAGGACAAGAGCAGATTTTTAAAGATCTGCTCATTTATAAAACCAATCAGGTTTTGTTTAGCATGCATCTGTGTGTAAAAAGCCTGCAAGGCTTCACATCTGAGCTTGTTAAATGCACAAAAGAGCCTGTTTATCCTTAAGAGAAACTACATTCTTATGCTTTTGTCTAGACAACTCAAGTCACGCTACAAATAAATGCTCACATTTTCTCTACAGTAAAATCAAAGAAAACAGAAGCGTGGATGACATTTCACATGCTTCACTCGTATCTAGAAGGATTTGAATGCCAGAAATAAACATTTAGACTTGTGTAATGCAGATGTTTATTAGATAGTGCTGCTTCACTTTGTACAGTGTGTATCCACTCTGGAAAAGAGCCCGTTTAAATTAGAGTTAGATTGTTTTTTTTTCATTTTTATATACACAACCTGTCCTTCAAGTTTAAAGGTTTGCATGCAGAGGAAAAGTAAGCACTTATATACACATTCAGATGTACTACTCATAAGCACAGCAGCCATTACCATCCATGTACCACTCATACAAAGAGTCCTGTCCTGAGACAAATGGGTCATCTTTTTATGTAAGTGCTTAGCGAAGCATGAAAATCATTTTATTATCCCATCTGTCAGTTCAGCAGTTTACCCAAAGCACTTTTCAGGTCTAGCTACCGAGGGGTTAGGCCGAGTGATGAGACCCAAAATCCTGGTAAATATTGTCCATCGATCATATACAAAAACACACGCTAATGCAGACATCTGCAAGCTAGAACTCCATTTTAACTAAAGTTAAGAAAATGAACAGGAAGTAAATGTAAGCATCTAGAGAATCTACCAAAACTAACAACAAACAACAGTCTGAAACAATAAAGCTCATATTATTTATATGATTTAACTTATGCTATGATAGAAATCACAGCATGTTAGTAAGTTACCCAACACAACATATGCTTCGGCTGGACGTATTCAATTCTATCTCATCCTGTGTGCTACCGTTTCCATTTGGCAACTGTTCTCAAATTGCTGTAATTAATGTGCATCCATGTGAACCACAGTACAATTAACTACTGATGGGAATGACATTTGCTCAGACCCCCGAACCCAGAATTCCCCCATAACGTGAGAAGAAAGTTTGGAGCGCAACGTGATGGAGAGGAGAGAAAATCTTCACATTACAACCCCGCTCCACCGTTAGATAGGACTTGGCACAATTTGACATACCCTCTTCTCACCCCATGTAACTCCTCATCCCCTCCCACAGACCTCAATTTCTTTATATTTTCTTCACTTCACTAAGTGCTCTCTTTGCAATGAACAGCCTCAGTTCCAGATCTTAAGGAAGCTGTCCCAGGATCCCGTGCAGCACGCCATGCCATCCGTGGATACTCCGATGCAGCTCACTCTGTTGTCGTGACCAGCCACCACACCTGAACGGCAGCAAGCAGGGAAATAAATGAGACAAAGGGTCAAACATTTTGAAATAAACTTCCAATTCAGATTTATCTCCCTTGTTTTTCTTTTAGTTCACTTATGTGCAAAACTAAACTTTACAAGGAAATGTAACTAAAAGAATATTGTGTACTTGTAAAACTAATAATAGACAGGAAATGTAGTTTTAGTCTTTCTTGTTTGGTCAGATTTGTCCAGCAGCATTAAGAGGAGTTGGTGCAAATATTTATTGTCCCTGGGGTGTATATGGGACTGTGTGTCCGGTGTTTGTGTTGCATTATATTACTGTATTGAAACCACAATGACAGAAAGAAGAGAGCAAACTCACTCTGGAAACTAAGTGAAAGGAATATAGCAGAAAAAAGATGGAGAAAAAAAGTAGAATAACTCGGTTTCTCACCGACTCTCTCGGCTTTGAGCGAGTCCCAGATGTTGACGTTGAAGTCGTCGTAGCCAGCGAGTATCAGGCGTCCAGACAGGGAGGGGGCCAGAGAGGTCACCCCGCACATGATGCTGCTGTCCTGGTAGGTGATGAGCTCCTGGTCAGCTCGCATGTCGTACAACTTGCAGGTGGCGTCATCTGATCCTGTTATCACTGCATTACCGTTGGGGAAGAACTGGAGGAAATAGAAGTGGTTAGAAAGCGTGCCTCCTTGGACAGGACGCGCTGAGAGCTTTGCACACAATGGAAAAGGAAATCTTTTTTTTTCTCCTTTGTTCTCACCCCAATGGCATTGATGTCACTCTCGTGACCTCCAAAGGTCTGTCTGCAGGTGCCCTCCCTGATGTCCCACAGCTTAGCTGTGAAGTCACAAGCCCCTGAGATGAAAAACTTGAAGTCTGGGGACACGCCGAGGGACATGCAGTCTCCCTGGTGTCCGGCAAACACAGTCTTCTGGGTCCCCGTCTCAATGTCCCATAGTACGCTAGAAAGGCAAGTTTAATTCAATTTAAAGTGCAAAAGAATCAATTCAAGCTTTCTTTTGTTCAGTAAATCGAACTATATTCTTACCAAGTGCAGTCGCCTGAGCTGGTGATGATCTCAGTGTCGCTGAGGAAACGACAGCAGGACAGGTAACCTGTACAACCACAGAAATACCACATGGGGCACCGCAGGACTCATCACAAAGGAGCGTTTAATTTCTGTTTCTTGTCATCTTCCTACCTGTGTGCGCTGCCAGCTCTCTCATGACCTTGACATTCCCATCCTTGCCTTTCAGGTTGTAGATGGAGCACATGTTGTCCAGACCGCCACACGCCACAAGGTTTCCAGAAGGTGCGTAGGCACAGGTCATCACCCACGATGACTTGAGGGGGATGGCATTGACCTAGGTGTACACAGAGGACAGGAGAGCTTGTTTTCAGCCTCTGAATTTACTGTCGTGTATTTAGTTGTCTCACGATGGAAATTTAGATCCTGTAACTTTTAAAGGTATGTGCTTAAGTCTTAATGTTTGAGCGAGAGATGCTTAAGGCACAGTGAGAAGTACATTGTGTATTTTGGTGTGTTTGAGAGTGAATGCACCCTGCAAGGTTTACAACCACGTTTACTTTGTGTTTAGGTATAGCTGGAAACAAAAATTCCTATTACCGGAATTGTAATAGACCTGCCCTTTGGCCTCTCCTACCTTGTTGGTCGTGATGGTGTCCCACACTATGAGTTTTCCATCCTGCGAGGCACTGACACACAGCCTGGGGGAGAAATGTGGATTAAAATCAGCAAAAAAACCCCAAAACATGTGAAGCAGAGGCTGTAACATTAAGAATATGCGTCCCCCTATCAATTTACTCAGTTTAAAGCAAATCTAATTTACCATCTCCCTTCTGCATATCTGGACTTTGCTCACTCTCCTCACAATTATTTAGAAAATTATTAGAAAACTATCAGGTCTTCACAAAAAAGCAGGTGTTCTTTCAATTTGTGCAGCATGTTGGGTAATTACTTTGAATCAGTGGACCAGTGCATTGCATAGATCTTGGCAAGATGACCCCTTAATGTTTTCCTGGTCTTCATCTGGACACGCCCCACCACTGTGATCCCAGCTACTGCCTCCTGCAGTGTGGTATCCTGCACCGCCTTGCGAGCTGCCTGCAGAGCACACACGTACACAGACACACACACACAAACTGCCGTCAGGAATAATATGTGAACACACGTCAGACAGAACAGTATGTGTATTATGCTGGATCTACCACAGATGATATATTGTGGCCAACTTACGGTAATCTGGTCTTTGAGACTATCTGCCTCCTTTCGAAGTTGCTCCATTTCACCCATGGCGATCAATCAATAGTGGGCTGTAGAGAAGATGTCAGAAGAGGCCGTAGTCCTGGGAATAAGAAGGAGTGTTCCGGTGAAGCAGCATAAACAAAACTCAGTCACCAAGAAATCATAAAATCTTTGCCAAGTCACCCACGCTATCACTCCATCCCAGAATTTTACCTGCATTTACCTGTTAACCTCCCTACTGCAGGTCTCCAGGTAAGTGCTGCTTTGCAAGTCAAACCACCCCCATCTGCTTTGCAAACTTTTTCTAACTTCGCAGGAACATACAGAGAAACCCACAAGACACACCTACACTCAGACACGCACGCACAGGCAGACCGTATGAATATTCACCCGGTTAAAGTTTGCTCTTCAGACGATGTAAGAGCAAAGATCCTCACCCTCAATGTACACACAAACCAGTATGTCCTGTAATGATGCGTATCAGCTCTCACTCGCTGCCTCTCAGCTTCACGGCAAATTCACAACACTTGTAGAGGAATTTGCGCCATTTAACACTCCAGGTGAGCTCTCATCTGCTGCTGATGGCTATTAAATTTGCTAATGTGATGATTAAATGAGCAATGTTTAGCGGTAAAACCAATCGCCTAATGGTCAGACTCATAAAGTGTGACAAATATCATCAACGCACAACTGAAGAGGCAGCCAGAAAGTCAGAAAGTGGCACAGAGAAGTTCAGATGGAAAAGCACGCCGTTGATTTCTCGGGTGAAGCACCACAATATAAGCAAACTTTAAAAAGAAAACACACCCTTTTCAGTTTCTTGTACAAATATTAAAAGTTACTTCTTTTTCTTTCTAAAGCAATCAGTTTTCATGATGCCATTTCCTTTATCTTACCTTAAAAAGTGACAGGAGGGAATACTTGCGCTGATTTTACCGTGTGCGTCCCTGCAGCGATCTCTCGCTTTCTCTCCCCTCTACTATTTGAATGAGTGTCCCTGTCAAAACACATGACCAAGTGGATTTGCCTCTAATTTGTTTGAAGTGAAAAGGAGAGGAAGGGAAAGGAGGGAGTGACTCTGTAAAAGAAAGAGATTTGATTTAATTGTTTGCCACTGGGCTTTATGTGTAAAGCTAAAGTAAATGGATGATGGCCTGATGCGGCGCTCCACAAAACACACACCAGCCACAGCAGCTACACTTTGGGTGTAGCTTTCTTAAACTGCTTACTGATACGTCGACCCTGAAGTTTCTGAACCAAGGGGGATTTTAAAGCCTTTGCTCCAGATGTGGAAATTGCTCCAGTAATGAGCGTTTTAATGACGCTTGAGTGTTTTAGTCGTGCTATTACCCTTTTGCCATTGTGTTCCTGGGACCCTGCCATTGTTCCGTGTGATTAAATGACTACTAGGGTGGTGGGATGGTGGAGTGCATTAACACAAACAGAGGGAGAAGTGGAGGCAGAGGGAGGGGAGGCAGGGGGTTGAAATAAGGGGGGGGGGGGGGGGTAAGAGGTGAGGCAGGAGAGTGAGTTTTAAATCCTACTGGCTGAGATTTTAAGGGATGCCTTTTGAATCAAATCTGCTCTCATCCGATTACTGACTGCTCTTTGCATCTGGATAAGAGATGGAGAAAGGGATGGGGCGGCAGATAGGGGCATGAGGTAGGGGGCAGATGGAGGAGGTGGGCAGAGGGAGAGCTGGTGAAAGGTGGGGCAGGGCCCATGAGTATGGCCAGTGATTCGACTTTGAATCAGAGAGCTCCTCAAACAGTTTCCCTCTTATATTCTTGAAGGGGATGTTAAGAAGTTATTAAATGGCAGCGAATTATTAGTTTATGTGAAATAACATTTATGTCACTATTAAGATGTTTTTCATTGGCTTTATTAATTAATTAATTAAACCGTAACACTCAGTTCGCATCATAGTGAAAATGTCAGCCTGACTTCAGCCAAAGCACCTCTCCCTTCTCCACCAACAGTGTATATGACTTCTTTTAAAAGGCACACTGTAATTTTTTTCATGTTGCATAAATGCCATCGACCACTTCTTCAACTCTTAAAACTTCAAACAGCTGATGCTTTGATTCTTAAGTTTACACGGAAAATAATAACTGGAATAACTTTACGCAGCTCTGTCATACAGATTATGTCCGATTGCATTAAGAGTCAGACCACAAAAGGAGTTTGTTTTTTATTCAGATTATCAGAGCATACAATTAAATCACTATTGTATGCTGATCCCGTGCAAATCCCTCATCTGCATGTGCTGTAAGCAAAAGATGAAACACAGCTAAAGGCATCGGGTGTGTATCAGTATAAATGTGACATCTCCATACTCGATATTTAATCAGACTGTTTTAATAATCAGCAGGTTTCCAGCTTGAGAAGGACTCTTACACTTCTTTTCTGAAGTGTAGGAATCACAACACTCAAAACAACCACATTTAACGTCAGAAATATGGACACATTTTTAAAAGATATCAGCCGGAAATGTGTTCAGGTCCGTTTTGTATGACCCTTGATGCCCATGAAGCATGACACCGGAGTATATCCACAAAACTGAAAACTGAAAACATCAATGTCTGCTGAAAGGAACACATGACCATCCACTTACCAATCGGAGACTGCTATCGAGGTGTTCTGGTGGATCTTCAATCCCTCTTCCTGCGGCGGCCTCCCTCAGGTTGCTGTCATAAGTTCAGCCTGTCTGTTCCTACTCTTTCCTCCACTCATTCGCTTTTGGTATCGCGGACAGTGCGGTATTCCTCACTTGCCTCACTGCTCCTATGAGGAACAAATGAGGATTGGAGGGATGAAGGGAGATCAGCAATGAGGGGATAAACCCTGGGATGGAAGAGTAAGGGGGAGGGGGGGGGTGATGGTGAAATAGACAGAAAGGGAGAAGAAACAGTGGGTGAAACCAAACAAGGTGCAGAGCATGCCTGTAGGGTCACAAGACATGAGCCGGGGTGAATCCAAGTCAAAAGACTAAGACATGGAAATCGTGGAGGGGAGGGAGAAGAGGATAAATAGAGGACCTGGGAACATGGCTTTTTATGGTGCTGAGATAGTTTTCAAAAGATCTATGACTGACAGAAGGGTTTGTGTTTTGTAAACCTGAGGTGAAGCTAATATTAGAAAGTGTATGGGCAGAGGGGGAGATTGGCAGTGTAGGGATCAGACTGGCTACAATGATAAAGCAAGAATAACTGCAGGAGGGGAATGGATGATTCTTACACACAAGCAGACCAACAACCATGGGCATTTACTGACAGTGTGTAGAGTGTGCGCCACTATAGCTGTCTCCTATGTTCTTTGTCATCTAAAGGTAGAGATAAAGAGCCACAATATCCCTTCGGTTAGCTCGAGTTCTGCCCACACATCTAAATTTAGAGGTTTCTGTTGTCACTCGTCTGTTGATGTGCCACTCCACAGCGTTTGCACATTATCTAACAGAGTAAATCACCTGTGTTAGTTACGAAACAACGCAGCTTGCACTCACGATCATGACATTGCATTGTTAGGCAGAGAGCCGGATCCACGAGAACAGACTGCGTTTGACCCAAAAGGCCTGGGAGAAAGTCACCGAATCAGGTGCTGAAACCCAAATGCATTATTAAAGGGAGCGCCCATTCCTTTCTCCCACTGAGGTTTTCACATGGATCAGGAGAGTCACTTTATTGAGAGTTACTTTCTGTAGCTGAAGCATGTTCATGAAACATTTGTGGCAGAGCTATTGTACTGCAGTGTTTGTAACTTCTCCTTGAAATTTGTGTCAAATACCCAGTGTCCTCTGAACTAGAAGAACACATTCAAATCCTAAACTAGTCCTAAAACAAATTTGCTTAGGGGTGTTTACAAGTACACAGTGACAATATGCAAAACATCCCAGTCTAAGACCTTGTTTAATGCTCTTTCTCTAAAACACACTTCACTTAGTTGCAAAGAATAATTAGAAAATATAACATAAAATCCTGCCAATGAAGAAATTAAATAAGTAGCCCAGATATCACATTACTACTTTCCAGGCAAACCCTTGTTGACACGGATTCGGACAGTTGAACGCCATCAGACAATACGAATCCCTTGTTTGCACATTTGTGAACATATCTGTGTTTGGAGCAGAAAAGCCTTTGCTGTGTGCTTCCTGGCTTCATTCTGTGATTCAGCGTGGCTAAATTGAGCTCTGCAGTTTAAAAGCGTTGGCCTTTGCTCGCTGGATTGTGGTAACGGCAGTGGTGCTGACCCTTGATTTGGAGAAATGGAGTCAGGGAGGCACAGGCTGTGAAACGGCGAGTGAAACAGAGAGAAAAAACATAGAGCAAAACAAGGGATTTGTTAGCAGAGGCACAGAAACAGGACGGGATAAAGACAGAAAGAGTGTCCGATTATGTGTTACTATTTAAAGACTAACAATGCCGCACTCTTCTACAAGAAAAACTCTCAAAGTGGTTTGTAAAATCTTATAATCTGCTATGATTTTATTACATTTACTGCTGATGTTAAACCGACTGAACTGAAAGCAGAAAAGGTGAGCATCCCTCCCCGAGTGAGATGAAAATTTAAATATATGTCATTCTGCACTCGGTCCCTGCACAGCACAATAAAAACAAGAAGAGGAGAGTTTGTTTTGTTTTCTTTGCACACGCTGAAAGAGATCTCTGAACATTTGATCTGTGGGAGGAGTGAGTGGATTAAATGACAAATGTGTCAGACACAAACATGTTGTTAGACTGCTGATGTTTATATAACTCGTTATGGTCTAGACGACCCTTACTGAAGTTCAAACCCAGTATCAAAATGGAGCAGAAAGCTGATTTAAATGACTTTGAGCACGGCATGGTTGTTGGTGCTACAACTGATGATCTACCGCAGTCACTTCTGCTGGCTAAGAACAGAAAACCGAGACTACAATTCACATAGGATCACCAAAATTAGACAACGGGAAATTAAAAAAGCATTGCTTGGTTTGATGAGTCCCAATTTCTGCTGCGGTATTTGAGTGGTGGGGTCAACATTTGACACAACACGAAAGCATTGTTTCATTCTGCCTTGTAACAGCTGCTCAGGCGGCTGGTGGTGTAACAGTGTGGGGGGACTTTATTACCAGGTGTGGATCACTGAAACACCACAGCCAACCTGTGAACTGTTCCTGACCATATCCTTCCCTTTATAATGTGCCATTTTGCTCAAATCATCACAAACTGGTTTCTTGACAATGGGTTCACTTGTACTCAAATAGCCTCCACAATCACCAGATCTCAGTCTCATAGTGCACCTTTGGGATGTGGTGGAACGGGAGATTTGCATCATGGATTTGCAGCTAACAAATCTGTAGCAATCGCGTGATGCTATTATGTGAATATGGTGAAAAATATCGGAGGAATGTTTTCAGCACCTTGTTGAATCTGTGCCGTGAAGAATTAAGACAGCTCTATGGGTGAAAGAGGATCCAACTTGATACTAGCAAGATGAACTTGAAAATGAAACAGCAAGTGAGTGGGTGTAAATTCACCTTGCAATATCCTTGGTAAATTCCCAAGCAATATCTGTGTACTCTCAGCAGGCAGTTTGTGCTTAGACAAAAAAATCTGTCAATCAGGTGTGGGTATAATTTGACTGATATTTCAAGGTTTTACTGTGTACGTTAAAATGAAGAGCGTTCGTTTTTCTGCCAAGTTTCTTTCAGTATTCGTGTGTAAACTGGCAGTGTTTTGATGCAGAGAGTAGCAGAAGAGGTCGTCTCACAGCAACAAGGTTCTGGGTTCAACTCAAAGTTGATTTTCTGAGCCGTCTGCAGGGGAGTCGAGGAGAAAAAATCTCCTTCCACTTTCCAAGCAAACTCAAATGACTGCGAAGACTTTTCACCTATCCTGAAGGGTTCAACAGTAACAGTAAGCTGCTGTAAACAGAGTACAGTTTCTTGTTCTAACTGTATGTAAGCAGTTGGTGTGTTGAAATGTTGCATCTCTGCTGCTGTTCTTTTAACTTTTGATATTTATTTTTAGCCCTACCCATATTTGAGGAAGCTTTGCCTGTTGTCAGGCCACCCCTATAAACAGGAATGTAAAATAAAAACTGGAATCTTATTATTTCTGTTTACTCTACTCTTCAAAATTATGTAAGGCACCAAGGCCAGACATCATCATCAGATGGCAACCAATATTAGGTTAGGGTCATAATCACAAATAGTAGGAAATGTGATATAGGAGATGAGCGATCCTGTCAGCTACTCACTACACACAGCATTTAATTATAATAACACCAGTTTTATAACTATGCGGCTGAGCCTTACATAATTTTTGCTGCTCATGTAAAAACATAGAAATTTGATGTGTAAATTTCTCGTTTGTATACGCAGGTATCATTAGACGGCTGTGGTCTTTAATGTGCATTTAAAAAGCATTAAAATGCATTATGCATAAAATGCTTTTTAGTGACTAACTCCTACTTAAGTGAAGATTAATGCGGAGGTGTTTTGGGCGCTACGTGGTCTCAATGTGAGAGGGAGGGAAGAGGTTAAACCCAAGGCTGCATTAAAAAGGGCCCACCGACCCAATTCCAGCAGCAGGGGATTATAACACAGGGGGGAGTAAGAGTGTTAATATGGGCCACGAATGGTACTTAAGTCGGCACCTAATGCACAAGATGAAAGCAGAGGAGGGGGGCTGAGTGGAGGCTCTGGTTGTAATGGGGAGGATAAGATGGGAGAAGGTGGTCGAGCATCACTGCGCTGGATGTGAATGATTAAATCATCTCTCCCGGATTACTATTCCATATTCTAAATGGGAGATGTTTTTAAGCTTCATAAACAAATGCACTCATTTATGAGGGATTAACAGTAATCTCTCTATTTCTATCTTTTTTTCCCCTCCCTCCACACCTCTCGCTGTCTCTCTCTAGTCCTTTTCTCCCTCTTTTACTGCCTCAAATGATAGTTTCTGGACAGCGTCACTGTGTTTACAGGTTCCTGCTGCTGTTTGGTTCCTATCTTATCATCCTATCTTTGTCTAACAAACTAAATAAACTTTAACCTTCTTTTTGTTTAGTTTTAATTGTTTTTATCAGCAGGGTGTTAAAGAGGGTGTGCGGTAATCACCTAATAGATTACACAGCCCTGTTTTCACATCATCTAATGCGCTCTCTGTTCAGCACTTGCATGCATTTGGCATACAATACCCACGATACACCTGTACAGAGTCACATTTACGACTTTTTTTTATTCTCTTTGGTTTTTAGGGCAGTGATTGACATTAGAGGGACGACAGGACATTATTTCTCTCATATACCCTCATCATATACAGTATAAATACAGTATATACACACATGCAAACTTTACACCACCAGGCAGCAACATGAAGAGGGTGAACGTGTGGGTAAATTATGGAGTTTGGGCTCATTCTAGCCCTCACAGCTCATCCTTGCCCCCCGTCACCCTGCCTCTCTCTCGCTTCTTCTCCTTTGTCACTTGGCTCCGAGCGTTACGGCTAGAGGTGGCGCCGCCCTCCTTCTCCTCGTCCGTTTTCACCACGCTGTGTCCATCTGCAGCCCACACGGCCTCTGCCTCCTCTCGCTCCTGAGGGAGAGATCCAAAATACAGCTCAAATATTGACTTCCTGCAGTTACAGTGACATAAAACTAAAGTTTGGGAGGAACATTCATCTTTGTTGGAATAATTTCAACTTCTCTTCTTGCACTTTCGGGACAATTTTTCTGTAAAAGAGATTCTCCTCTGTTAGAGTGAGCTTCATTTGCTCAACACGAGCCCACAAGGCAAACAATGACC